GATCAACCAAAGAACGTATATGCAAGCATATAGGCCTAACCAATAGACACAGACAACAGGGGGGTGAGGGCATGAGTGGGGGAATAGGGGGGGGGGATGTGGAGATAAGGACACATACGTAATAAAAAAAGAAAAAAATAAACATTAAAAAAATAAAAAGTATTAAATTGTATGCTTGATGATAATTTGATTATATACATTATAATATGCAACTTTAAATATGCTAATCAGTATATGATATAATTAATATATATATACAGTCAAACCTTGTTTCTTGAACATCTCCCATCTCCAACAGTTTGCTTCTCAACCAGACAACCCTTTCATGCTGATACCTGTGTGATCAGCCACACATCTCTCAGGTGACAAATAAAGGAGAGAATGTGTGAGTATGAGTCAGTTTACTGCTCTAACCTCAGGATATTGTGCTGTGGATATTTTCATGTTTAGTGATTGTTTTACTTTTGTTACTGCTTATTATTATCATTAAATGTTCATTTTTTTTACTGTATATTTCCTTTGTGTTAAATGTTCATTTATATTTCATGTTCTTTTTATTTTTAAAGCATTTATTTATAGATTAAACAGTACATTAGAAATGTACTGAAAATAAATAAGGGTCTGGAATGCATTAATTCAATTTACATTATTCTAATGGGGAAAAATGCTTTGGTTTTCATACATCTGTCCCAAATGAATAAAGTTCGAGAACCAAGGTTCCACTGTAATTATAATTCATTTGAATCTATATTTGATTACATATATTATGCACATAAAACCTAAAACATTTCATCTGATTCATCACATTTAATGCCCAATAGTTCTTTCTCATGTATAAAAGATATTTCATGTACCAATAAATGGGTAATATTGTAAAGAATTTTTCCCACTTTTAAAAGTCAAACTTTATTAAAGAATCTTTAAGGCAGTCTAAAATATTTTATTAAACCAAAACATTATAGTAGCATCTATTTCTCTAAAAATTGATTGCTCAGAGGTGGACATTATTTTACCATGTAGATATTTCTGCCATTACAGAATTTTACTTGAAATTTCTGGTCAAGGTACAAGCTAGGATATAGCAACACCTTTAATCAAAATTATAGAAAGATTGCTTGCAAACACAGAAACCTGGACCTTTGAATGTTTTCCTGAATGAATGTTTGGGTGTAAATGAGACTCACTGTGGCTCCCACTTCTTTGGCCTTATCTATCGTTTCCATTGCCAGCATGTGATCAAGACCAGGGTCCAATCCCAGTTCACCAATGACTGTGATGCCAGCATCGTCCACACTACAACAGGTGAAAACAGGAGGAAGAAAAAGTTGAATGTGAAATAAAAATAATGCGCCCAGCCAGCATGGCTCAGTGGTTGAGTGTCAACCTATGAACCTGGAGGTCACGATTTGATTCCCAATCAGGGCACATGCCCGTGTTGCGGGCTCGATCTCCAGTAGGGGGCATGCAGAAGGCAGCCAATCAATGATTCTCCCACCATTGATATTTCTATCTCTCTCTCCTTCCCTGAAGTCAATAAAAAAATTTAAAAATAAAATAAAAATAATGCCATGGAGCTACTTTCTTGAAACTGAACTTACCTCTTTTCTAATTCCTTTAGTGCTGGTGTGATGTAGCTTGCCGTGACCATGTTAACTTTGCTTTTGATGCATGCCTTGGCCACAAGAGGATGCAATACGTAAGGCAACAAGCTTAAAAACAAAGGGAGGAGCCAATCAGAAACCTTCTTGTCCAACCCTATCTTCTATGTACCTTGAAGCACTAAAGCGGAGACATTGCTCTGATTAATTTACTAAGAGATGATCAGTGACTCCTTGAGGACTATAGAACACACGCATCCTGTTATCACATTTAAAACTCCCCACAATATGACCTTCACCTAACTTTGCTATTTTTCTCCCTCCATCTTCTTTATAAACCATATGTGGGAACCAAAGAAGCCATTGTAACTCTCAACTCCCAGCCTTTACTTTGCCATCTCTGAACCTTTACTCGCTGTGTCTTCCACATGGAATGCTCCCTTCACCCTCATCCCCCACTCCCCACCCAGGCCATTCCCTCTTTAAAGGAATGTCTAAACAGTTATCTCTTCCAAGAAGCTTTCCCAGATTCCCCCAAAGCCAAATGTCCTTCCTCTTCAGGTATCCAGCTATTTTTTATAACACTAAGTGGGATTTATTTCATCCATCCTTATATTTCTATTATATCCTGTTTAGAGCCCCCTACTAAAAGGTAAGGCTACTGTTCTTTTCACTTTCACATTTCTCAAATGACTATCAGGAAGGGGTGAAGTTTAGTCTAGGTGGCCTGTGTGTTACATTAAAGAGTAGAGTCTATGAAGGGCCAGGGTGGAAGATAGGTTTTAATGGTATTGCCTGGTGTAAAGCCTATCAGAATGGCTAAAAGGCTATATATTGAGTGAAAAAGTGAAGATGTATTTAAAACTCAACTTAAAGTGGATTTTCTAGAAATCTGGTTTTGGTGTTTTAATTTGGTGCTGGCAATACACAATCACAAAAAAATGAATTTCTATGAATGTTTATATAAATGAGTATATTCATATTCTATCCATGAAATAATAAAACATACTGTAACTTACTTAACACTATTTAAGTTCCATTAGCTTACTGCCTATTTGATAAAGCATTCTACATAGTAACCATGAAAATATAAATACAAACTTATAAACGCACTAGGGGCCTGGTGCACGAAATTTGTGCACTGGGTGTGTGTGTGGTGGGGGAGTGTCCCTCAGCCCAACCTGCCCCCTCTCACATACTGGGAGCCCTCAGGCGTTGACCCCCATCACCCTCCAATCGCAGGATCGGCCCCTTGCCCAGGCCTGACACCTCTGACAGAGGCAGGGGACCCTCATTTACCCCCATCATTTCCCCCCATCACTGGTTCTGCCCCCAGCCCAGGCCTGATGTCACTGGCACAGGCGTCAGGCCTGGGCAGGGGACCCCCAGACCCCTCCGATTGCTGGCTCTGCCCCTTGCCCAGGCCTGATGCCTCGGCCAGAGGC